GCAAAATTTTCAAACCATGAGACGCAGGAGATCCGGGACTATAACTTTCATTTAAGCCATTTTGTCGATTATGTACAGGGTGTTTGAGTTATGGACAAAAATCTAAAAGACCTTGAAAATGGTTCTTTTCTGGAATAAATTATTAATCGTCAATAAAAATTCGTGATAGGCCGCATGAAGACCAATTTCTGTATTTAAGGTTTTTGTTTATCACACACACTGCCCGAGATATTTGAAAAAATCCATATGAAAATCACTATTCCTCGGGATTAGTCTATACGCGATGACGTTATTTAATATTACGGCATACTGCATAGTTTCAGAAAACAATTATTTTCTCGAAAACTACTTCTGGCAGTGTTTCAATTATATACTGCTGTGATAACCAACATTTTCATAAACTAATAAGCTGCCTGGTGGGATATTTGGAATAATAATTCCTACCCAATTTGGCACCCAATCTTTTTCCTCTTCATTTCTTTCTATAGTGATGGATATTAAACCGAGTTTCGTCTAATAATATAATAATAAATTGTTGAATTTGAGTTAAATATTTTTGTCTCCATTAAACCAATCATTGGCCCCAGTGATTCATTATAAAGGAATCGAAGCAAGATTGATATTGAATTGCCAAGTAACTTCACTCGTCTCCCAATGGCTCATTTCAGCCCTTTGACGTTTTTGGAAGACCTGGAGACAAATTTTCCATTAAATGACAATTTCTCTTTGGTTCGTTACTATCCTCCATTCAGTGGACAAACTTTTCTTCAACTCACGGTCTGAACATAACAAATAATGACTGGAACACCACTAGAAATACATCCCTGTCCTGATTAAGGCTGCGAAATCGGTTTTTTCTCGGTACGATTTAAGAGTCTTCGGTTATAGCATTCCTCCAACTCCAGTCCTATTTAAATGTATTTAAAGAGCTTTAAAGACATTGAGCATAATAATATTCTCATCTTAAAAAAGCGCAGTTTTACTAATCCTTTTCTCAGCAAAAATTGGGAAACACCGGCCATTATCTAAAATGGACTTTGCCAAAAAATTCAGGAATGTAGTTCTAATATTAAACACCAAGGTTCGTCCACTACCTGTCCATCCCTTTGCCACTCTCGGGAGCTTTGGTAATGATCATGGGTACAATACTACACTAGACAGCTAAGTTCACTAAATTTTGTAGTTCAATAATGATTTAGAACTTTCTCGCATTAAAAACAGAGCATAGTAGGACTGAACAGCATTCTTTTTTTTTTCTTTCATAGATCCGAAAAATATCATTCAATAAATTAATTAACGCTACCTGTGTCAAGGTCAAAAAAAATGCTTTTGATTGTTACATAGGATTCCAAATTTATGAATCCCATTCAATTAAGCAAATATTGACGAAAATAAATCTTATTCCCAATGACCAGCACGAAACATTGCTGTTTTTCCTGCTTGTGATCCAAATGAAGGTAAAAAATAAACAACTTCTGATTGCTAAGTCGAATCACATAAACATACGGTTTTTTATTCCCACTCCGCCACATAAAATTAGTTTTCTTTCACTAAGAACAACTGCTTAATCGCTCGTAAGCTGCCTCAGATTTACACTGGATTTCATAATTCCCTTAAGTTTTGGAAAACAACTTCAAGTGAAAATGCATACGTCGACAAGGTTACAATATTAGTACATGGCGAGCCAATGGTTTTGATTTGGCACTTTACGTACCCAGAATGGATTAACTGTTGATTAATGGATGGATCAAATATTGTGACGATTCACTGCACCATTACTGCGAAAAATAGCTTCATCAGAAAACGTTATATTCCATATAGAAGGGATGACATTTGGGTTTTCTAGTGCTACTGACTTAGTGAATATCTTGAACTTGTAGTAACTTTTCCTATTGTTCCTCACTTTTATTTTTTTTATATTCAGTACTACGACTATCATGAAACCGTTCTATTAGGGTACTTCGCCCTTAATGCTAACCCAGTATATAATCATATCAATTAATTCAGCTTTAGGAAAATGCATACTTATTTTTTTTTTATTTACTGAAACCACAATATTATGGATTTTTTTACAACTAAATGAGTCAGGTACAAATTTGAAAATGTCTTTTTGTCATGCCCAACTAATTTTATAGCAAAAAAACTTTCATAAAAAATGATAATATATTATGTCATATACCATATATAATGTAAAATCGGGTAGCTTGGAAATTTGCTTAAAAGAGACAGCCGCACTGATTGATGGCGTCAGTAGAAATTGAGCATTTTCGCAATTGATTCATTTACAGCAACTATAATAAGAACTGGTTGTTTTTCTTCTTTTTTTTTAATTTCAGCGCTTATATTAAAGAAAAAGTATGGCACCACGTCATCGTTATTCAAAGTATCGAAATACAGAAAGACTCGTTCAACAACCCGAGGAGGCCCTTCTAAAAAAAATAAATGGCAATGAACTCGAACCCAATGTGGCAGTAATCTGCATAGAAATAATTTTTTATTTTATCTCATTAAAGAGATGCGGTATTGTGAGAAAACTTATGTATGCATAATGCAAGTGAGAAAATGTTTTGTTGTTATTTTGGACGACAAAAGTATCTCAACTTAGGTATACAATTCGCATTGGCATCTCCGGTAAATTAGGTGGCAAAAATGATACCAAACAATACGTCTCAGTAATCATCGATGCATTTATCAAATATGATTTGTTATATGTTCTTGAACTGCCGATATAGTTGTTAATTGCTTAAAAGATCTTAAAATTTTTTGGTGTTATTTCTGTTATCAGTTGTGTAAATTTCTTGCTACAGTGAATTGTCATTTTATAGCAAAATTTATAGAGTTATCACATCACCACTTAAGAACACAAAATATAAGGTTACTAGGTTTAATTTAGCAGAATATTAAGTTGGCGAATTACAAAAAAAAAGTTACATCAATAACACTGGAGAAATCTCCTTCACTATCTAAAAATTGCTATATACCAAGTAAAAACATCGACAAGGTCTAAATAAAATTGTGAAAATAAAAGAAAAGTCGGAATAAGTTATTCAATTATTTTACAATTTCTTCGTAAATTTCGAGGTCCATTTGAAATTACTGCAGTTTAAAAAAAGTGGCCGTTGTCAAATTATTAGACACAGCTGTAAGTGCAAAAGTAATTTTTTCGAATTTCTTTTTGATCAGCTTATTCGTGTACCTGATGAGCAAGATAAAGCCAAGTGAGAACCTGGAAATGAGCAACAGCATGAGCCTCTGTCGGCGAATTCTTAAAAGAAATAAGTAATATTTCGATAGACTAAATTCACTCCGTCCTGGCAAAACTAAGTAAAAATAATTTCGGTTTATTTATTTTTTTATTAGTTGTCTTGAGCATTGTAGCAATTTGGTGGTTCAGATTTCTGTTATTTAACTTAACAGGGTCTATCTGGTGGAGGCATGTGTTTGCCTAGTTTTGTTTACTCAGTAAATTACTGGAGATGTATTGTTGTCTGGATAGTTTACATTAAGGTAAACGGTAATACCAGAAGTGGCGTGTGTCACCGGTGTGCATTGCTTTATTGGAGAGGCGTGTGTCGTCGTAGGTGTTAATCCTGATAATCATTGCATTAGTGAAGAGGAATGTTTGCCGAAAATGATTGTAGCGATAAGCAATGCTTGGTTGAAGAGGCGTGTGTCGCCGTGGGTGGTTATCCCGATAAGCATTGCGTTTTTGGAGACAGACATGTGTTGCCCAAGGTTATTGTTTCGATAATCATTGCTTAATTGGAGAGACGTGTGTCTACGAAGGTGATTATCCCGACAAGCATTGCGTTATTGAAGGGGCGCGTATCGCCAAAGGTCGCCAAATATTTCAGTGAACAGTATTTTACTGGATGTTGGTGGTGGAACCGACTTGCAATGCTCTTGATTACTGATGCTTTCATAGGTTTGCGAAATTATATTACATGGCAAGTTGCAAGTAAGTTGATTTTGGTTTACTAGTAAAAGTTTTTGTATATCGGTTAATGTTAATAAGAATAACTGAGAATTGCATCGCGTTTTTTTTATTTTTGTTGGTTAGCCAGGATGGACGAGTGAAGATAAAGCTTTCGAGGTCTAGACGACCACCAGGTGTCCGAGGACGTGCACTATAGTCAGTGTCGGCGCCCTTAGCTTTCTCATATTTCGGTTTGGGTGATTGGATTGTTTATTTTTGATTCGTTCACTTTGCTATGTTACTGAAGTGAACGGATCCCGAAACTATGAGGATAGTCTGGCTTTATAGAAACACTGGTTAAGTCGGATTTTGAGTAGCTCCGATAGCTTATTTTCTCATGGCTATTTTGTAGTTGATCTAGCGGGTCGCGGATCGTTGGATTCTTTTTAATAATCAATCAAGTGGTTAGATTATTCATTTTCTTTAAGAACTGTGTTATGTGCAGTCTTTTAATATATCCGAGAAGTCTAGCCCTATGTGGCCTGGGTCGCCATCAGAACCCGCACCACCGGGTTTGTATTTCTATTGTATTACTTTCATGCGACATATATATGGTGTCCCATTTAAGAAAATCGAGATTGTTCAATTTAAAACTATCCAAATCTCACTCATAAAGAAATCAAATTAAATATGTATTCGTTGCAATTGAAGTGGATCTTTTGTGTTGCGTATTTTTAAAAAGTTCATAACAACGAGCATAATTGATGTTCAAATGAAAAGAAAAAACAAGTTTCAAATTTTATATTATTAATTTTTTTTGTGAGTTTCATAAGGCAACTAAATGAGGTACGAGTTTTCACTTTTTCAGAGGATATCTAGTAATTCAAAATTTTTCAAATTTTCCATTTGGTGGACCCCTTCGTTTCAGAGTTTTATGTTTTCATGGTTTCTAAGTTACTTCGTTTTTCAGATACACATGATCCAATTCACTATAAACGGTTCAGGCAACAATACTTCAGCCATGTTCATAAATATTTACCTAGTGTTGTTATTTCCTTCAAAACTAAAACGCGACTAAAAAACATTTGCTAATAAACATGTAATTTAATTTTGCCAAACAAAAACATTAGTAAACATTTCATGATACGCAGACTAGTGGACTATAATGGAATGAGCTCTGACCACGGGAACCACCGGATGCAGTGTTTTCACTACGGGTACAGTGTGAACCACGGGAGCTGCGTGGACGACAGGAACAGCTTTAACTACGGGAACCACATGATGAGTTTCTACTATGTGACCGGTGGCTACTATTCCCGGAGCTGCGTAAGCATAACACAAAATAGTGGCGAATAAAACCTGTAATAAAAAATTAACATTAGTTGAAATAAAACAGGACAAAGATTTGAATGATGAATTTATTTGATATTTTTATTTCAAATGATACATCAAAAATATCAACTTACACATTGTTTGTGTAAAGAATACACATTGTCATTAAAAAAACCATTTTAACGAATATGAACCCCCTATTAATAATTAATAATCTATCTAGTGTTTCGTGTTGTCATTCACTTTTATAAAATTAAAGATGGCAGATCTCCGTAACTTATTAGCAGTAACAGGCAGGCTTATTGAATGTTAAGAAGAAAAAGAGACCAAACTATTGAATCCAATGAGAAAATAATGTTAATGAAGTCCCCAATGTCCATTTGTTAGACGAATTAAAATTAGAACCACAAGATTAGTGTATTTACCCACGCATAAATGAAGAACTGCTCAAAATTGCGACTCTGCAGATAGAAAAATTCGCCAACATGTTGAATTTACGAAGACTTAAAACATAGTTGTTCCATATCTCTTCAAAGTTAGATATGTTTTCAATGCTTTAATTTTTTCACAGTCATATTTTTATTATATATATATATATATATATATATATATATATATATATATATATATATATATATATATATATATATATATATATCTCACGTATTGATTCACAGATGGAAAAATGTGATGACACACTCGAAGTGTTCGAAGTGTTTTCGGAGCGCGAGCATTGAAGATGCCAAGTGAGATTTTGGCGAAACGTCTGCAGGATTCCAGTCGGAGTTCAACGAGCGAACGGATGATATCCCGGAATATAGTGTCATCATATATATATATATATATATATATATATATATATATATATATATATATATATATATATATATATATATATATATATATATATATATATATATATATATATATATATAGACCACATTTCCTTCTGTTTATCTGTGTGCTCCTTACTTTTGATTTTCCACAAACAGTCATTTGGTCGCCGCTTTGAATGCAAAATCACACAACGACAAGCCATCTTTTCCTTAAACTAGTTGGTATAGTACAGCACAGAATAAATGGTTTGACTCGTATGTAAATGTTGTTTATAAATATAAAATCCAAAAACATAACTTATCCAAGGAATAATTTCTGTATATATTTTGTGTGATGGATTGTTCTGAAAATTTGGTTTTCTAAGTTTACTCTATCGATCTAGAATATCCATGGCTATCGCTTTACTAACTTCCGGTTAAACCTTAAGATGCCAATGGATGGGCTATTAAAAGTTACGCCTTCGGTTTTGCACTAGGTCTAAATTCTACAGCCAGTCTTTTTTTTTTAATACAAAATAATTAGATATACATCTTTCTTTCAACATTTCTTAACGATACAGCTGCAATAGCAAATTCAGCAGTAGTTTTGCAAGATATTTGTCAAGAACAAATATTTTAAAATTTTCAAAATTTGTTTCAACGTACTTCAAATACAACGCACTCTGTTAGTAAAGTAAAAATGTCATTGCAAAATTAATTATAATTATAAATTTCAGTTTTTTGCTATTCTCTTGTTTTTTTTTATTAAAGTTATTGCTTATGTTAAGTTAGATTTTAGGTCAAATTTCATGCCTGTGTTAGGTATACTTTTTTAAAATTAATAAATAATTGGATAGTTCCCTTTTAATATACCATTTTATATTCCCTTGAGAAATGACTATGACTATGACAGCATGTAAGATGTTGGGAATTTTTGTTGTGCAATTTGCAAAGGATTTGTTAAAAAATAATACTCACGTATTTGAACATGTTTGGTTTGCTTAAGTTCTTTTTGTTCTGGAGGCACTTTAAATCGTTGATGTTTACAGCGAAGTGTGACATAAATCGTAAATCTGCGAAACTTTATATATTTCGAAGACGGCGGGTATAATTAGTCACCCTCTTGGGATATTGTCACAAGTATTGTACCAATGACGAGTTTTCCTTCACCTTGTGTTTGTTTTAGATCAGAACGAGAACCGGAAAAATCACGCTATACAATGCCCGTCCAAAGATTTTTCAGTTCTTTAATGTGTGATGCCCAAATCGATCCAAGTCAAATGTGCAGCATACTTTAGGGATTTGTGAAAGTTACGTCGCGATCATTGGCATCAGTTATGGTATTTCATTATTGCTGCAAAAATACTTTATGTGCTCAAAAAAATCTCATTCGCTTGCGTTGAGCAGTATATTTTAAGACACTTGAAGAGATTGATCTTGTAATTCGAAAAGGTACTACTTAAAGATGCAATGAGGTTAAAAATATTCTTCAACCGGTCGTGAAAATTTTGCATTGCAGTTCGCATTGCATCACAAAAGTAAAAGAACGCACAAACACATTTTAACTTTTTCGTTTCATGGTAATCGTGTCCTGGCGTTTACCATAGATCAAACTAGCAAGTTTAAATCTGTGAAAGAGGTAGCTTAAATAATCAAGTTGTATTACTTAACAAAAATTAAATATAAATTTAAAGACCAATTTCCTTCTCGAAGTTTTTCTATTCATACCACTTGCAAATACCTCAACATTTCGCTTCCAAATGGCAAAAATTTTAATTTTGACAAAAAGTACTTCTTCCCAAAATGTACTGTTTGGTGGGAAAATAAATTTGCACACGAATATGTGTATTCTAGACATATAACGTGACTTCAAACAGTACCGTATTAGAAGTTTCTTTTGTTATTCTAATTACGATGTAAATTCAACTTTAGCACCAAATTGGTTTAAAGCTCTAGTATATTCGTTCAAATGACCTGAAAATTTGTTAGGTGCGATTGACGAGAGGTGCCTAGAAACTAAATTCATTTGAACTTATTTTAACTGGAACAATAGAAGGAATTATTTTCGGTTAAACTCATACTCATACTTTCTAGCATTAATATCTCCTTAAATAATTTCGCTTCAATATTGAAATGTCTGACCAATACGAATTTAAACGGAAATATACAGATTCAAAGCAAATAATCGCTTACTTCTGCATTAATTATACTTGCTGCTAATACTGCTACTTAAGTAGTCAACAGCTGTGAACTGGTATCTTAAACGGCCATAAGAATTGAGGCACACAAAGATCTACAATATCCAAAATCAATTATCTTTCTTGACTAATATGTAAATGAAAAGGTATATTGTGACTTCATTGTGGAGCTTGCATCCATGACTCTGCTTCCGCAGTCTCCCTGTCAACAACAAACATTTTATTTTATAAAAGGATTACTATGTTCCCTTATGTCCTTTCTTTAGAGGCTGCTTATGTGCCGTATAGAAATTATAAAACACACGTACATGGTTTTTAATACTTTATAATTAAACGAAAACATTCTCATCAAAATTCTGTACAGGCTGAGTCAATGATAGAGTAACCCTATTTATTTTCAAAGGTTATGAGAAAAAGATAAATACATAAGTTGTGAAGATGGTGGAGGTGCACAATTTAAAATTATTTTAAACTATACAGGGAAAATAGAACACAATATTTTTAAATTTTGTTTGGAATTCGTTCTTAAATTTTTCAACTTTTTTATTAATGATAATACATAACTAAACGTAACGATTTTTTCAATATTTTGTTTTTATAAATAGTACTACTTCCCACACTTGCAAAAAAGTAACGATAGCACTATAATTTTTAAAGGTAGATCACTCATATTTGGTATTAGCGTCTTTCGAAGATGGCGTAAGAGATATGTAAAACGGAATTTGAATTGGACCCTACAGCATGTTCAAAACAAACGAATACATTTCTATCACCTTAAATTAAAAAATCTCGATATATTATTATTTTTTTAAAAAAACCTTTAAAAATCCTACAACTTTTTACATATTTTTTAATATTTTTAATACCTTGCTATTTATCATAACTTTTCCAATATTTAACCTTCTTTCTGTATAAAACTATTGCTATAATATTAGTTGGCAAGCAACAGGCAGTTATTAACAATTTTAGTGAAAATTTTGGCCAAATTTTAAATTCGCAGAAAAAGTAAATAATATTAAATACTTATTACTAAAATTCCTTCCGAATCATATTTTCCACATCTAGGGTTGTAGAGGATTCACATGAACACGATCTTTAACGTATCCATACAAAAAGAAATCTAGTGGTGTTAAAGCACATGATCAAGGGGGCCGATCCATTTCTGTGAATAATGACTATTTAAATGATCTGAAACTTCTCGAGAAGCTCCATCTTGCTAAAACCACATTTGTTTATCAACTTCTCGAATAAGTTAAGGTTCGCAAAAAAAAGGTACAATAACGTTAAAGTGTTTTATTCGACACATTGAGGAAATAATGGTTTTCGTTTTACAATTCTCGTACCCAGAATGGATTAACTGTGGAATAATTATGCATACTATAGTGATTAACTGCACCATTATTGCGAAAATTAGCTTGATCCGAAAACATTATTATTATGTATTTCCATATGGAAGGGCTGATATTTCTGTTTTTTAGTGTTGCGATTAAGAGCAGATAAAGAGGTATCACATATTTGACAACTACTGACCTGAGGAATATCTTGAACTTCAAGTAAAATTTCCAATTTTCTTGCTCACGCCTCAACACCTCATACTATACATACTCAATAAAAGTTGTACTTTCTTGTAGGATCTTTCAAAAAAATTAATTATATATGTGGTGTGAAATTTAAGAAAATCGAGATTTTTGAAATTAAAAATGATCCAAATATACTCGTTAATTCTGAACGCACTGTACGCCATCTTAGAATAATACTAATATAAGTAATGGCACTATCGTTATTTTTTCTAGAAGTCCGAAAACATTTTTTTTTGAACAACAATTCAAAACAAAATTTTTAGTTAGGTTGTTCCAGTTCAAAAAATATATATTTTATTCGTCACACTTTTTTGAGGCATCCCGTATAATTTAAAATAACTTTAAATTGTGCTTGCTAACAATCTTCACAATTTTCGTATGTACCATTTTGAATCTAACAAGAAAATCAACTTTAACCGCTTACTGCATACCTCCAGGTAACGTCTACCGGCAAAATTGTGCTGCTGGGTCTCAAAATATTACAGCTCCGTATGAGTCACGGTTAATATAGAAATATAATCTTCCAAATATTTTAAGCTTATACTATACTTATGCTAAGACTAGAACCATTCTCATTCTAAAAGTTACCTTTTTCATGTGCGAACGTGTAGTATATGCAGTTATATTTGAAAAGCCACGACATTTTGCTAGAACAGGTTTTACGCTAGTCTAATAATATATATTTTATCTCAGGTATGATTTTTTTTATTGTTGAGTATTCAGAAATTTATTTAGCCAAATGTCTGACCAAGAAGATTTTCAATTTGAGTATATAGATGTATCAGAAAGCGGAAGTGACCATAGCGAATCGGATTCGGAGGAACGCGAGGAGGATGACAAATCAAATCATATCTGGCAAAAAGTAAATACAGATATCTTGGATTCAACACCACCACGTTTCCAGTTTATTAATGTCCCAGGTTGTTGGATTATTTCCAATTATTTTTTGATAATGAATTGATAAACTTATTGGTCACCGAATCAAATAGCTATGAAGAACAACAACCACCAAGATCGTCTGATGTTTTATTGCCTACAAAAGCAGAGGAAATGCAAATATTTTTATGTATGAATATAATTCAAGGTATACTAAAAAAGCCAGAAGAAACAATAAACAATCAAAGACATTTTTGCTACTCCAATATTTCCAAAACTAATGTCTTTACGTCGATATTTATACATCAAAGACCAAGACACATACTTTAGAGACGTGATAGATGAAAATAAGCACAATTCAAGAGAACTATAATCTCTAGTAAATGTTTTTCCAAGCCAAGGGAAATTGTTTTTGATCAGGGAATGGTGAATAGTGATAAGGATATATCCAGTGAATTTAATAAATATTTTGTGCAGAATATTGAAGAATTTATATCGGCAATAGCTAGACCATCCATCAATTTGATGTGTTTAGATCTAAACCAGGATACGGAAAATCACAGCGTCACGGAGTTCGTGAGGTTTGAAAACATTTCATTGATTCACTTAAAAAGTTTTGTGCGTGGAATGAAAAATGTTGGTGGGGTGAATTTGGCATTTCAACAAGAGTCTTCAAGCATGCTTTTGCGGTGGTTGGAAACCGAATATTGGACGTTATCAATGCGCCATTTTCTAAAGGCAAGTTTGCAGAGGAAGTCATTTTTGGTGGTTCCGGTGTCGAAGGTTCCAGGTACTAAGCTGCATTCTAATTTTAAATCGATCAATACTGTGCCAGTGTACGAGAAATTATTGGAACTAGTTGCGGAGACATTGTGACGAAAACAATTTAATTGACCGTGACATTCTTTCGAGACTGTGATAGTTAGTATCTGTGATGAATTCGTTGGGGCTATCGATGACAATAGTTTTGTTTTTGCTGTGTTTTTGGACTTTAGAGGGGCTTTTGAGACTGTCAATAGGGATGTTTTAATAGATAAGCTAGAAAATATGGGTATAAAGCACTTAGCCCTGGATTGGCTAAAATCTTACTTACCGCAGAACACAAAAAGTAAAGTATGAGTCATCTGTGTCTGAGTCTATCTTAGTGGATAATAGGGTACCACAGGGATCTGTTTTGAGCCATTATTGTTTATTCTGTATATTTTTACATTATTTGCCGACGATTACATGATATGTGTCGTCGGTAAGGATATTAATTTAAACTTTTGTATTGTCTGAAATTTTATTCTGAGTTTTCCTTTATAATTGTTCTGCCGTGATATACTTTTGTTCTGTGTACTTTTGAACTTTTATACTTAATCAAATTTTACTACTGGCTCGTATATTTAAAATGTAAATACGATTGTTTTCTGTGAAAGCTTTATGCTAAATAAATAAGGTAT